AAACATTAGGTCTAGGGAACCGGTTTTTGGAGTTGAATTGTTTAGTGAGGGATGGATAGCGTTTATCTTCAGGTTTCAAACTCTGAAGAAGGCGATAGCGCCGAAACGTAACTTGATACGAACTTATTTACCATCTTGGTAGCAGGTTTTATTAAAATCTTATAAAATTGATGCAAAACTATGCCAAGATTTATCAAGAGTCGAACATGGATGCTTATGTCTCCACTCCCTTCTTTTACAGTATCTTCTGTCTTTATTTCAGCTTCAGTTAGACAAGGTCCTGTCCACATCCCGCCACCTCACGCTTGAAACTCTCCCTCTTGAGCCTGGACTTGATTGCCTCAGCTATCCAATGATTCGGTGGCCCTATTGGATTTAGTGTCCGAACCATCGCAGATGAAGCTGTTTGATATCTAGCTGAATCTCTTCCATATTCTGTGATTGACGCTGCTCCGAGACGGGTAAATCAGAAGGAACTTGCATGCCTTTTTGACTTGATCCAGCCTTGGCCAGGATCATCTCAAAAATCATGGAAGACAACTTCGCCCATTTGGAATAAAGATGCACATCTGAACATCTTTATTTTTTGCTCACAGGCGAGCACTTGCCACCGTAGAAAATCATAGGCTCGTCATTGTCCATCACACCATTACACCTTTCCCTTGAGCGTCTTGGAGCAGCATCAGTGACATAGTATGAGTGGGCTCTGGTCCATCCATAGCGCATCCGTTCGGGTTTGAGCACCCAACAGCGTTACCGTCATCGACTTTACGATTGATTCCGTGCTCTCCTCGAGCGGAGGACTTTGGCCTTCTTCACTATTACCTGAGGTCTCTCTCCCCAAACACATTCTGCCATTTCTGCACCTTTTTTTNTTTTTTTGGAATTCTTCTCTAATCTCCCATATTATAGCAACGTCATCAATACAGAAGAAGGTCTTCAGCGGGCCACCGCGGGTCCTTTTGTGATGAGATCCATTGTAAGCAGGATGAGGAGTGGGCTAAAAGCTGATCTGATGTACACCAAGCGTAACGTCTACAGCTTTTGTTGAGCCGTGATGCGTGGGGCAAATTGGGGCCAACCGTTCATGCCTGTGACGAGGGAAATCAGGTGTTCCGGAACACCTCGTTCTCGGAGAGTTCTCCAGAGGACTAGTCAAGGTCGGAGGTGGAGGTCTCTCTTTAGAACATTTGCTCAATTCTTCTCCAACTCTCCTATAACTATAAGGATGGCGTTCATTGGCATCCTTAAAAACACGAGGCCGAACTGTTTTCGGGAGATGGAGTCAATCTTGAGACCACTAGCCTCTCGCACAGCTTCATGGTTTGCGCAGTCAACAATATTCAACAAAAGTTATAGCACTCCATACCGTCTTCCTTCTGCTTCGAAATGGGAAGAATATCACTGCCTTTCTACGCATCTGAGATTCTTCTTCTAGCATTTACAATGTTTAGAACCCGGATGAGCTACGTGATTCCGTGCTCTGCATGTTCTATGTTTCGATTAGCAATACATCTTGACCGGTTGCCTTCTCAGCCTAGATTTTCCTTACTGCTCTACAAATCTCATCTCCTGTCCTTGAGACGATGGGACAAGCCGCTGACTCTACATAAGCTGTTCTCATGGCGAAATTTCTTGTCTAAGAGCCTGTCGAAGAAGTTCTTCCAGCTGCGCCTGAGCCCGTCTGATATTCTCAAAACGGCACCTTCGCTTTTCTTGACTGGCTTCAGTATCCCGGTGTCTCGAGTAGCCCGATTGCGGGCTCTGCCCAGCCGGGAGACGAAACTTCTTGTTTCTGACTTTCGACATTTTCGCACAGTGCGTCCACTATTACTTTCTTTGCCTTTGCTATTTCTCCCTTGAAAATTTTTTGCAACTTCCGTGGACGGCTAGTCCTATTGCTTGCGTTTCCGCCACTGCTCGTAGTCTGTAGAGTTCTTTGTGCCTCACAACTCGCTGGGCTTCATTTTTCCAGAATCGAGTTGCCTCGTCACCTTGAAATCCACCTCGAGACGGTATCAACATTATCCGTTGATCCATTGAAGTCTTCTTTCTCGACTCCGTGCAGCTTCCAACTCTAGATCCTATGTTCCGTTCTTGTCGAATCACTAATCACTTTGAGTACTCATAAATCTGCGAATGGCTAGGAAAAAAACCAATAGCTGCAAAGGATGAACGGCTCTTCGTAGAACCCGATGCAAAATTTCTACCACCGTACTTGCTCAAAGTAATCGGTTTCCGTCATTGCGACACAGCATACTATAGTTCAGATCAGTATAGATCTGAACGCACCCTACGAACGTTGAATTTCGCTGGTTTACAATGAAGGATGGTTTCCGAGCTTTCTCTCTTGGAGGGGTCTGTGTCCTTCAAGGACAGCCCAAAGAACGCGGTCAGGCCGAAAGACGACAACAACTTTGTGGTCGTATTCTCCTCCAAGCCCTAATTTTACTAATTTTACTACTTGTTTAAAGCCATCGTCTCGCTAATTACCCGATTTTCTCGCTTTCTTTTCCCTTTTTTGTTGCGCTATTCTACATAGTCTAAAACTAGGGATCCCAAAATTATCGTGAACTTTACCTTCAACAGATAGAAGCAATTCCCCGACAATTTATATTAAGTAAAGGATAAAATCTTTCGGCGTTAATCAGTCACGTCTCCAGGTAGCGCCCTCCCCACCCACATTTGGCTTCCATTCAGGATTGTAGTGGCCTACACAATGACTTTCGGTGGACAACCGATGTACAAGTCCGTGCATTTATCCTCCCAGACGAGAATGGCACAAATTAACGACCCCAGAGGTATGGAAGGTTGTATGAATAATTTGTTTCGTTTTAGTTGTATTCTCTCGTTCGTCGATCACCTGAATTGTCCAGTTTGTCCTCAAAACCATCACTACGTCCATTTTTGTGGTTGTGTGGACGTCTGCTTCTGCTTTATAGCATGGGATGCGCGTTTTTGATGTTCGGTTTAGTGAAGACTAAGTACTGGATTGGGGTAAGTTCATACCTCAGCGCGACTCTATTATAGTTGAAATGAGTGCAGCACGTAGGTGTGAAATAAACTGAATCTGCGTCGACATGCACGCGAAAAAACCGCTTTCTGGTCTTATCATGCACATCCATGCACCCCAATGGGATGCCATTGCGTTAAACGAATCGCAGAAAATTGGTTCTAATGAGGAGAGTAGAGCCATAGGAAAGGCATTTCTGGGCAACAAATGTGACCCGTTGGCGGTATAAGTCGTGAACCGGAACTCCTGTATCAAAAATTGGTGACCGCGCTCAACGTTCGGCTAGTCGTGTACCTGTATTTTCATCTCAAACCTATAGAAGATGAAGAGGTCGCCGCGCACGCTATGACCTGATTTCAAGCGACAACTATGGTAGTGCTACAGGCCTCATCGAGGGGTAAGCGAACTTCTCCCCTATCGCGGCATTCTCCCTTGCGGCATGCGGCAAATGTCACTGCAATTACCGTACTCACCCCGCCTCCCGCCAATCGATAGGACGCGATATTTTTCGTTGATTGCCTTGCTTTTTTGTTGGATTTGATCGTTTTTTCTTCTGTTTCTTTTTCGTTTTCATGTTTATTAGATTTGATCAGTTGAAATAACTCCTCCTATGTAAGCGGCGATCA